GGTAAATTCATAATTTATTTTTTATATTATTATTATTTTTTGTTTGTTTCATGATCTCAAGATGAGCAGTTTTCTTAGCTCTCTCACTTCATTTATTATTTTCTTGATATTATTGCAATGTCTCTGGTTACATGTGTTGATCAAAACAAATCATTGTATCATGAGCATTAAAACAATAATTGTAACAAAGATTATTTAATAGTTAATTAACAATGTAATGAAATTGTACTGCCAAAAATAAAGATGTTATTCAGAGAACAACTGGCAATGTGTGGCACCAACCTAAATGTTAAAAAGTACTATGTAGTAAGTATTTTTTTTAGGTTAACCTATCAGTAACAGTGAAGTTAGGCTAACAAATCTAATGCACTGTACTGGTAAGCCCATTTCTTTTTTCTATTCATATCTTTTAAACAAGAAATAAAACGATCCTTGCCTCCTTTAATACCCATCTAGGACAAATAAAGTGTATTTTCCCAGTTGTTTTATGAAAGACATTGAGCAAATCTTTGTTCTCTTCTGTCCTGTGAGGCTAAATAGCTTGCTGGACAATCACCATATAAAACATKGCTCTGTCTGCTGCCTAACCATCTYCATCCCCCCATCTAAAACGTAAATGGCAAGCACATTAGTATACGTAGTAGATGGCAATATTTATTTCTTTTTTATTGGTAGTAATGTACTGAACCACGACAAGAAGAGATATAACGGAAGTAATAAAACACATGTTAAGGCCAGCACCTTTTTTACATCTGGTGAATGCAGATGAAAAGGTGCTTTATTGTTTTACATGTCTATGTGGAGAATACTAATTATTTCTGAAAAAGGTGACTTTTGCTTCTTGCCAAATGCACATGATAATGCATTCAGTCATCCACTATTTCTCTTTTTATTATTTGCTGTCACTGAACTCCAACTTTTCCTATTTTGACCTATGTCTGTCTTTTGTTGCTGGCTGAATATGCATTGCAAAAGATTTATATAAATAAAATATGTAACGCTTTTAGTTTACTACCTTCCTTAATTCCGTGTATTATTTTCAGTCTGATAAATAGGGGTAGTAAAAATAATTGTACTTCATTAATTCAGAGTCTGGCTGGATGTCACACGTTTGAACTATATTTGCCAATTAGGCAGTTTGAATTAAAGTGACCTTGGGATATTCCAATCTTTTCTGTAATTATCTAATGAAGCCATTGTCCAGAAGCAATCCACTTAGTAATGTTAATCCTTTTATTGTTTGCTTATTTGTTTGAGTTTTTATGCTCACTGAATGTGAGCTATAAGATACATAAAAATAAATATGTTGATATTTTTTCTATTAAATTTACAAAAAAAAAACAGATTCTGCTGGCTCTAATATTATTAGATACCATTCCTATTACAGTCATGGGGAAAAGGAAGTGCACCCTCTTGCAATTCTAGGGTTTTAYGTATCATGACATAAGAMTGTTTGAAAGTTATTTAAATCTAATCTCAAGTGTACAAAAACATAACAGATTTAACCATGTCATTATTAATTATAAAAAATAGATGCCAAAATGTGTGACGTGTGAAAAAAAGATAGTTACACTCATCTATTTTTTGAGTAAAGATGGAAAGTGGCATCCATGTGCTTCTGATCAAATGCATTTCATTAAATGATTATCATCTGTGTGATCACCTTTATCAAAGCAAAGATTTGGCAGTTTTTTGTGTTTRACTCAAACGGTTATGTGTTAACACAAAACCAGGAGGACAGACATCAGCAATGACCTTAGAAAAGCACTTGTTGTCCATTATTCTGAGAAGTTATAAGGCCATTTCAAACATTTAATTTTACATCCTGCAGTGAGACAAATTATTTACAAATGCAAAGTATTGCAGTTGAAGAAGACAGCTGCCAGTCTTCCCAGTACTGTACTGTACTTCCCAGACTGTGTAATAGTCGGATTGGAGGGAAGTACTGTATGTTAAAACAGTTCATGACTGTATAACCAAAAAAATGAACAAAATGGATTCTTTGGAAAGATGAAAGCCTCTTTTTTTTCTACAAAGAATATAACACCATGACTTAGGTTTACAAAGTTAAATACAAGACTTTTGGAATGATGTATTTGAATATATGAGACTGAAGTAAGGATGATTTAATTACAATTGAATTTATTTGTTTGTGTTTAAAGGTGACAGCAACAGAGGTGTTACCAGCAAGCATGTTCATACCCGTGCCCAGTCCTGACAGGGAGTCCCAGAGTACACCACAAGTTCCAGCCAACTCAAACTCTGAGGACACAAAGAAGCAAGCTGGTTAGTACTAGAGTATTATAGAAGTGTTACTTTTATTTGTACTTGTGTAGTTTTACCTATGTAGTCTATAATGAGTATATTCTCACATAAAGATATGCTTTTTATAACTGATTACACACAGATCATTAAGGTAACCATTATTAGTATATGTTGGTATACATAATTAATAGGTGAGCACGATAAATTAGCCGGCCGATTAATTGATCCCAATTTCTTAATTTTGGGACGTTAAAATGGTAAATAAATAAATAAAATTTTTGGAGATTAGTGATCGGCCAATACATGAGAAGTAGATCTCATCTACCTCCACAAAAGTCTGAAAATCAGTCACTGTCCCCTATTGCTCTGCCGTGAGCACTACCCCATGTCCATAAAAATGTTTGTATTTTTTCAAAGGTATTGTTCAATGTGTTTCAATTAAATAAGACTGGAACTATGAAGATGTATTGTGACCTTATAATACCTGACAATGTCAGTTTAAAAAAAATCTGTATCATCCAAAATCAGCAAGTCAGGCTTTTTAAAGATTGGTAATCAGCTAAAAAACTGCGATCGGTTCATCCCTGGTAACACCTATTGAGGCACTGTAGAGTTTTTCAAATACAGTATTCTAAAGAAACTTTTTTTAAATAGTTTGTCTCTCATAATGAGTCATAAAAATTACTACTCCTTTCTTTAGGTCTTTTAATTAAACACTGTCTAGTCATTTTTTGCCCACTTTCATAACAGAAGTTACTTAGAGTATAACTTATCTATTATTGACATTAAGACAACAAATAATCTGAGCAAATGTTGGGATCCAGATAAATAGCTCTTTCTACTGATTTCTTCACAGATGCATCAGAAGCTGATCCTGAAAAAGGAGTATCCCTTCCCACAGACATAGCTGAAGCTCGTAAGTCACCATTGGAAGATCAGCAGTCAGAAAGAGAGGATGCTACTGGATTTCTGTGCTGGAAGAAAGGTTGTAATCAAGTATTCAAATCCTCCAACTCCCTCCAAATGCACTTCAATGAAGTTCACAACAAGAGGCCCCAGCTGCCTGTTTCAGATCGCCATGTCTACAAGTACCGATGCAACCAGTGTAGCCTGGCCTTCAAAACTGTGGAGAAACTGCAGCTTCATTCACAGTATCATGTGATCAGGGCAGCTACCATGTGCTGCCTTTGTCAGAGAAGCTTCAGAACACTACAAGCTTTAAAGAAGCATTTGGAAACCAGCCACTTGGAATTGAGTGAAGCTGATATCCAGCAACTTTATGGAGGATTATTGATGAATGGTGACATTATGGCAATGGGTGATCTAACTCTTGGTGAGGAGCCTGGAAGTCTGGGAGAAGATGACAAAGAGGGAGATGACAGTGATCAGGAGGAAAAACAAAGTCCAACAGGCAGCGACTCTGGTTCACTGCAAGAAGATTCTGGGTCTGAACCAAAACGTGCACTGCCATTCAGAAAGGGTCCCAACTTTACGATGGAAAAGTTTTTGGATCCATCTCGTCCTTTCAAGTGTACTGTGTGCAAAGAGTCTTTCACACAGAAAAACATTCTTTTGGTTCACTATAACTCTGTTTCCCACTTGCACAAGGTAAAGAGAGCTCTTCAGGAGTCCACTACTGGTCAACCTGAGCCTACCAGCAGCCCTGATAACAAGCCCTTCAAGTGCAGTACTTGTAATGTGGCATATAGTCAGAGTTCTACTCTGGAAATCCACATGCGCTCTGTTCTACACCAGACAAAGGCCAGAGCAGCCAAACTTGAAGCAGCAGGGGGTATCACCAGCTCTGCAAGTGCTCATGGTTTAATTAGTGGAGCTTCCAATATGGGCACGTCCGCATCTAGTCCAAGCCCAGCCAGTAACTCAGCTACTAACTTAACTAACCACAGTTCTTCGGGGTCTCAGGCACCTCAGAGTATTCATGGAGGAAACCATACAAACCAGTCCCACAACATTGAAAGCTTGGGGAATTCTTCAGTCAGCTGCCACTCCTCACCATCTGAGAATCATGAAACCAAAAAGTCTAAATTCTCAGAGATTCTTTCTGCCAGGGGACAGCAACAACAGCTTCAGCAGCAACAGCAATTGGCTCAGGCTCAAGCTCAAGCACAAGCCCAGCTTCAGCAAGAGCTTCAGCAGCAAGCTGCTCTTTTACAATCACAGCTATTCAATCCTGCACTTTTGCAGCACTTCCCAATGACAACAGATGCACTTCTACCCCTACAACAGCAGCAGTTGCTGTTCCCTTTCTACATCCCAGGGGCAGAATTTCAACTGAACCCAGAGATCAACATCAGCAACTCTTTGCTTGGCCTAGCTGGATCATCAACCTCTTCCCTGTCAGAAGATCTGAAAAACTCAGCCCAGCAGGCCCAGCAAAGTTGCTTGCAACAGCAGTTAATGCACCATCACCTTCAGCAGCAGCACCAACAGCAGCAGCAGCAGCAACAACAACAACAACAACAACAACAACATCAGCAGCAGCAGAAGCAACAACAGTCTCATTCACAGGTCCAAGGCCAGATGGCACTGCTGCAGCAAACTGCATCTCTTCTCCAGCAGGCTGAGAAAAAGCAGAAATTTTCCTCCTCTCAGAATGACAGGGATAAAGAAACTCTAAAAGAGAAGGATGTCCCTGAAAAAAACGAGGACTTTGTAAACAAAGATTCTACAGAAACCAAACCAAAAGAAAAGAAGGACATTCAGCAAATTTCATTAAATATTAATCAAGACCCTGGCTTGCTTCCACCTAGGATTGCTTCAGATGCTCGTGGAAACGCAACCAAAGCCTTGCTGGAAAACTTTGGATTTGAATTAGTTATTCAGTACAATGAAAATAAACAGAAGGTTCAGAAAAAGACGGGGGGAACTACTGGAGCAAGTGGTCCAGGTGGAATATTGAGAGTAGTGGACCCCATTGAGGGACTGGAGAAACTGGAATGTGAAGCTTGTGGCAAGCTGTTTTCAAACATACTGATTCTAAAAAGTCACCAAGAGCACATCCACCAGGCCTTTTTTCCATTTCGGTCCCTCGAGAGATTTGCCAAGGAATACAGAGAAAATTATGATAAGCTCTACCCACTTAGACCTCCAACACCAGAGGCTGCTCCAGCTCCTCCACCCCCACCTCCTCCGCCGCCTCCACCTCCACCACCTCAAAGAGCTGCTACACCAAATATCCCAGTCTCTGCTCCCTCACATACACCTCCAACTGTACCCACCCCTCAGCCACCAGTTCAAATGACACAAATACCCATGCCAATGGACTTGCCCCTCTTCTCACCTCTTATGATGCAGCCAATGTCTCTGCAGTCCTTACCGACTCAGTTGCCTCCCCAGTTACCATCTGTTGAGCCAAGCCTGGCATCTGACCTGGCTCAGCTCTATCAACAACAGCTTACACCAGCCATGTTACAACAGCAGCAGAACAAGAGGCCACGGACACGCATCACTGATGACCAGCTTAGAGTTCTGCGACAGTACTTTGATATCAACAATTCACCAAATGAGGAACAGATAAAAGAAATGGCAGACAAGTCTGGACTGCCACAAAAAGTTATAAAGCACTGGTTTAGAAACACCCTCTTCAAAGAACGCCAGCGCAATAAAGACTCACCTTACAACTTTAATAACCCTCCAACAACAACTCTAGAGGATACAAAAGTTGATTCCAAACCTCCTTCCCCTGAACCTCTGAAACAAGAATTTTATGGAAGTAAGAGATCATCCAGAACGAGGTTTACAGATTACCAGCTGAGAGTTCTGCAGGACTTCTTTGATGCAAATGCTTATCCTAAAGATGATGAATTTGAACAACTTTCCAACCTTCTGAGCCTCCCTACTCGGGTTATTGTTGTCTGGTTCCAAAATGCTCGACAGAAGGCAAGGAAGAATTATGAAAATCAAGGGGATGGAGGAAAAGAGGGTGAAAGACGGGAACTGTCAAATGACCGATATATCCGCACATCAAATCTGAACTACCAATGCAAAAAATGTAGTTTGGTTTTCCAGCGGATATTTGATCTGATAAAACATCAAAAGAAGCTATGTTACAAAGATGAAGATGAGGATGGGCAGTATGACAGCCAAAACGAGGATTCATTAGATCTGTCCCATGATAGTTATACCCCCTCTGGGTCTTCCTGTCATACACCAATGCCCTCCTCTTCAAGCCTTTGTCCTCTTCCTCCTTCAACATCAGCATTTGCACACGCCCCATCTACTGAGAAAGAGGAAGCCTCACCTGCAACCACTTCAAACCTCTATGATGAGAAGCCTAAGCAGTTACCAGAAATTTCTCCTGATCCACGAGAAAACCAAACTTCTATTAAGCAAGAGAATGTGCACCAACATCCATCTGAACCACAACATCAAAGAACTCAGAGAGAAGAAAAGATCCAAAATATGTCAAAGTCTGCCAAGCACTCATCTCCTTCCTTCTCTCAGCAACAGCAATTGTGTGGCCCATCAGCTTGTCAGACAAGCCAGGCCTCATCGCAAAGTTCCCACATGAGCATCAGTCAACACTTGTCCTCCGCCACACAACAACTGGCACAGCAGATAATCCCATACCAGTGTGAGCAGTGCAAGATTGGCTTTCCCTCATTTGAACACTGGCAGGAACACCAACAGTTACACTTCCTCTCTGTGCAAAATCAGTTCATCCATCCACAATTCCTTGACCGTCCAATCGATATACCTTTTATGCTGTTTGATCCAAGCAACCCTCTCCTGGCAAGCCAGCTTCTCTCTGGGGCAATGCCTCAGATTCCCAGCACCTCTGCCACCTCTCCATCCACCCCAACCTCCACCATGAACTCCCTAAAAAGAAAACTAGAGGAAAAAGCTAGTACTAGCCCAGGAGAGAATGACAGTGCTAATAGTGGAGAGGAGCCACAGAGAGACAAGCGGCTCAGAACCACCATTACACCTGAGCAGCTAGAGATTCTTTATCAAAAGTATTTATTAGATTCAAATCCCACTCGTAAAATGCTTGACCACATTGCTCATGAGGTGGGTTTGAAAAAGAGAGTAGTGCAAGTGTGGTTTCAGAATACAAGAGCTAGAGAGAGAAAAGGTCAGTTCAGAGCTGTAGGGCCAGCCCAAGCTCATCGTAGATGCCCATTTTGTCGAGCTCTTTTTAAAGCAAAAACTGCCCTTGAGGCACACATTAGGTCACGTCACTGGCATGAAGCCAAACGTGCTGGATACAATTTGACTCTCACTGGAATGTTACCTGAGCAGGAGAGCATGCAAATTAAAATGGATGCTTTAGACACATCAGCCTATTCCCAAATGGCACCCATTACAAACCTAGATGGACAAAGCTCCTCCATGTCACCAGTGAATAAAAGCATGGATCTGTCTCCCAGAGGTCTACTAAGTCCTTCATCCATCAAAGTGGAAGGAATAGAAGATTTTGAGGGTACAACAATGTCTTCTGTAAACCTAAGCTTTGATCAGAGCAAATTGGATAATGATGACTGTTCTTCTGTGAATACAGCCATCACAGACACAACTACGGGCGATGAGGCCAATGCTGATAATGACAGTGCTGATGCAAAGAACATCCAAAATAGTGGTGATTACCTCTCCAAGTCTGGAGGCACATCCACTATTCTTGAAAATGATGACCAATTGTCCTCTGGGCTGGTAAGCCCTGCAACAAGCTATTATGCTAAGGACTTTGAAAATGAAAACATGATTGACCACAGTGAGACATCCAGCCTGGCTGACCCTTGCTCACCAAGTCCTGGAGCCTCAGGTACCAGGAGCATTGACAGTGGAGACAGGCCTGGCCAAAAGCGCTTCCGAACCCAGATGACTAACCTCCAGCTGAAAGTGTTAAAATCTTGCTTTAATGACTACCGGACACCCACAATGCTRGAATGTGAGGTGCTTGGCAATGACATTGGACTTCCAAAGAGAGTGGTTCAGGTGTGGTTTCAAAATGCCAGAGCCAAGGAGAAAAAGGCAAAACTCAACATGGCTAAGCACTTTGGAATAAATCAGACATCTTACGAAGGGCCGAAGACTGAATGCACATTGTGTGGTGTCAAGTACAGTGCCCGCCTTTCTGTTCGTGATCACATATTCTCCCAGCAGCACATCTCTAAGGTGAAGGATACTATTGGCAGCCAGATCGATAAGGAAAAAGAATATTTTGACCCAGCAACTGTCCGCCAACTTATGGCTCAGCAAGAGATGGACCGCATTAAGAAAGCCAATGAAGTTTTAGGTCTGGCACAGCAGCAGGCTATGCAGCAGCAAGGCATGTTTGATAACCCCGCAATGCAGGCCCTCAATCTTCAGTCAGCCTATTCGAACTTGCAAGGCATTCCACCTGTCCTTTTGCCAGGGGTTGCCAGCCCCTCTCTTTCCAGCTTTAACTCATCAAATTCAGGTACGTTATCATTTGACATTCATTTGAAGATACAGGGCTAAAATTTAAACAGCACATGTGTAAATTTATTTTCTATGAATTACCGTATTTATTCAAGTATAATACGTAAAATTGAATCCATAAAATCATGCACAAAGTTGGGGGGGGGTAGTACAATACTGTACTTTGACTGATGTATTTTAACTGAAATATCAGCCTCATTCACAAAATCCCTAAGTCCGGAAATGAAACCACATCATAAAAAGCGGTTGAAGTGATCTTACCTCTAACACTCCCTTGTGCCTCTGAGCGAGATAGTAACAGATCCAAGCAGGCAACATGATGTGAAAAAAATTAAGAAAAAAAAGGCAGTCCTGCATAACGAACTAATATTAATGTGCGACCGGGCCGCTCCTGGAACAACAACAAACGCATGGTCGTCTGTAATGGCTGCCATCTACCGGTGTTCTGTAAAAGTTGGTCTACCAGAAAAAAGTTTCCCCACCAGAGGGGGCACTCGTGAGACACAGAGGATGAGATTGTTGTTGAGTTCGATTCTGATGCCTTTATTACAGAGGAGGAGTACCAGAAACTTTTAATGATACAGATGATGGTGAGTCTGATTTTGAAGGCTTTGATTCAGCTTAATCCACACTTGTTAGAGCCACATAGCTCTATCTGTTTGTTATATCACATCAGTTAACAAATGAGCATTGATAGCTTTTGTTGTAGTTATACATTTGTTTTTGTGTACCTTTTAGTACATATGTTGTTAAAATAAAATTAAAAACGGATACAACAGTCAAATGATAATTTTACTGATACTGTATATAAGACTGCAAAGGCTGAAAAATCCAGAAGTCCATATGAAATTAAAAGTAGCATGAGAATTACATTTTTTATGCTATTTAGGCTAAAAATGGGGGGGGGGGGGTCGTATTATACTTGAGATCGTATTATACACAAATAAATACGGTATGTTTTTAATTCTGTTTTACATGATATTATTACAATGCAAGTAGTGATTATCATTTGTGAATTTTGTAATAAAAAATACCTTTTTGTTGATACCTAATCTTTGAAAATCTGTCCATCAATCAAATTTTAGATATGTAAGCCTCATTAACCTGTTTTCGTTTGAAAACTTTTCAGCTTTAACTCCTCCAAAACCTTCAAACCTCCTGAACATGCCTGGTGCCAGTGTTCCCTCACCGAGCCTTCCCACTTCTGGACTGCCCAACAAGCCTCCCTCCTCATCATCTCTTGCCACATCCAGCTCTGCCCAGACCAACACATCTGCTTCCCACTCAAGCCCCACTCCCACGTCCAGCTCCACATCCTCGTCTGCCCAGTCTAGTGTGCGGCCTGAACCCCCCAAAGAACGTGACGCTGAGAGGTCAAGAGATAAAGAAAAAGTCAAGGAAAAGACAGAGAAGCCCTCAACCCCATCTTCAACTGGAAGCACCCCTGCTCCTTCCACTTCTGCCGCCAGCGCCAAGAAGGAAAAACCAGACACAGCTGTCCCCGCCACTTCTATGCCCACACCCGGGATGGAGTATGTGGTAGACCCTGCCCAGCTTCAAGCTCTGCAGGCTGCTTTGGCATCAGACCCCACAGCTCTACTTACAAACCAGTTCCTACCTTATTTCATGCCTGGCTTTTCCCCTTATTACACTCCACAGATCCCTGGGGCTCTTCAAGGTGGGTACCTACAACCAATGTATGGCATGGAAAGTCTTTTTCCATACAACCCAGCTTTGTCACAAGCACTGATGGGCCTGTCCCCCGGCTCCCTATTGCAGCATTACCAGCAATATCAGCAGAGTTTGCAGGAAGCACTACAGCAGCAGCAACGACAGCTTCAGCAGATCCAGCAGCCCAAGGCAAGCCAAACTCCGGTACCCTCTCAAACCATGGGGGATCGCAAAGATTCTGCCAAAGATTCAGTTAAAACAGAGGAGCAAAAGGGTGCCCCCATCAACGAGACCCCCACTTCCTCCTTCTCCTCCTCCCATAAAAAAGTACCATGTGAGCAGAACGAGCTGGATGGCAAAGCTGTGGATCACCCTCTTGATCAGTTCATTGTGCCGAAAATGCAGAGTAAAGTGGCGTGTCGCAAGTGTCAAGCTGTTTTCACCAAGGAAGAAGCAGCTATCACCCACCTTAAATCGAACTGTTTTTTTGGTCAATCTGTGGCAAACCTGCATGAGATGTTGCTGCGTGTCCCCAGTGGCGTAGGTGTAGGGGCTGGAAGTCTCTATGACTGCCTGGCTTGTGACACTACGTTGGATGGGGAGAAAGCACTCGGTCAGCACCTCCAGTCGGCATTGCACAAACACAGAACAATCAAGCGATCAGTCAGAAATGCCAAAGAGCACGCTACTAGTTTATTACCTCACTCTTCAGCCTGCTTCCCCAGTCCTAACACCGCATCTACCTCGCAGTCTGCCACTCATCCCATCAGCAGCCCCCCTCGCCAGGCAACAGCATCAGCCACCATGCCATCTTCTGCTGTCTCCTCATCYATGTGCACCTCCTCTTCTAAGGCCCTTCTCCACACCACAGCTGCCAGCAAATCCTGGTCCCAAGCCCCTTTCTCCAGAGCTTTAGCTGGGAAGCCCAACGCTAGTCCCTCCTCTTCTTTTCCTCCAGTGTCCTCACCTTCAACGGTTACCTCAAGTTCATTGAGCACCTCAGGAGTTCAGACCTCGATACCAACAGACGTCTTTACTGATGAGTCTGACTCTGACAGCAGTCAGAAGTCAGCAGACAGGCAGGGCAGGACGGCGGAGGAGCCACAGCAGCCCAGCTTTGTCAAGGACAGTAATAGTTGTAGTAACCTGGCTAGTGTAGGAACAGACTCCAGCAGATTGTAAGAGAGCTTTCAGTGATGGACAATATTTAAAAAAAAATTCAAAGAAAATGACAAAAAAAAATTACAAAAAAAAAAAAAAACATAAAAAGCAGCAATGTTAAAAAAATACATGAAAAGTATACAAACCAATTTCAGAAAAAGATGTGTAAAAACTAACTGCAATTCCAAAGCTTGTAACCAAAAATTTAAATGTTAGTGGATTGTTTTCCCATATCAACATGCTGGTTTTCTTTTCATGGTTTTCATTTTATTTTGTTTTAGCTCCAGTTAAATACATGCATACTACTATGTGAAGACAGTAAGACACAGTTTTAGGTAATGGTGGAGGAATGCTGTWCTCTATGGCAATGGACTGCCTCAAAGTTGACAAATGTCCCCAAAAAACTTTTGTTTATTTATTTTTTCCCAATAAATGCAAGTTAACAAGCTAATATTTTCTACGTAAAAGCACAGTCACAAAAAGCCAGTATGTACTGTATGGGAGAATAGTCTATCAGTTTTCTTGCTATTTAAGCATTCAAATACCAATGGCTTTCAAAAGTAAAAGAATAATGTCTATTTTATTCTCAGGTCAACAGCTCAAATATGTTTTTCTGTTACAGAAATTCACATTTCCTTATGTTCTCAACAAAWTTGTTTTTATTTATTTTTTCTGTACGGATTTGAGTTTTATTTCATAACAAAAAGTAAAATTTTAACAAGGCATTGCTACTGGGCATTTGAAAAGGTAAATTGCTAATCTTAACATTGGAAGTTGTTTTAAAGGGAGGAAATTAATCCTAATATATTCCCATACAAGACCATTGCATACACAACAATGGGAGATGAAAGAAAAGAACAAAAAATAATTTTGATATGGAAAAAAAAACTTAATCTTCTGTATTTATAATTATTCTAAGCATTTTTGGTGTTATGTAGATTGTTGCATTGGAAATGAATTTAAAAATATCGTAGGTTGGAAAGAAAAATTTTGTGTACATTTAACTTTTGTATTGTCCAATTTTATGACACTTCATTTGATGTTGACTTGGTCATTCCAATATTCTAGAATATGGACAGGAAATTTATTATTTCTGTCTTATTCTTAACGTTATAAGAAACATTCACTCAAATGCCCCTCTTTGACAAGGCAGGATCCTCTTTCAAAATTATTTAAATTTAAGATTTGGTTGATAAAACCAAAACAAAATGATCCTGGGTGAGTTATTGAGAGATTTATTTTTTATTTAATTCTTGTTACTTTTGTGCACTTATCACTGTCTGACTTCATTTTGTCACTCTTCTTGTTCCTCTGTCAGCACTTATTTTCTCTTCTCTCCTGTGTTTGTAGATGTGTATACTACAAAGCAGTCTTTTGTTCCTCACGTAGAGTGGCTACATTCTTTATTTTTATTTTGACATGTTGTCATAAATGAAAATGAAAAAAGAATACTACTAATAATTCTCATGCTTTAAGAAAAAAAGAAAATCCAAAGACTAAACACTTTCACCATTGGTGCATAAAGATGAGAAAAGAGGCTTCTTTATACTTGAGAATTTGTTGCTGTTTTTGAGGAAAGAACACAAAGTTTTAAAAGATAAAGGAGTACGTATCAGAGTTGTCCTCTTTGCTTCTCTATAAGCAAACAGGTAGCTTTATTACGTAGATACCAAAAACCAAAAAAGGGCCCATGTCCTTGCATTGTGGAGTAGCACCGTTACAGAGCCATTGCAGTTTGTAAGATAGAGGTTAATAATCTTTGTTTGACTTTTGTCACATTTAAATGTCCATTTTTTTAAGAAAATGTATAAGGTCTGGACTTCAAGGACATACGTTTTGCTGCTAATGTAGATTTTTGAAAAAAAAAGGAAAGAATACCTAGATGCATGCTCATTTTGCTTTTTTGGCTAAGCTTTAACTAAAACAATAAACCAATTTCTTGCCTCTGCAACACGTTTTTTTTTTTTTCCTTTTTTCTTGTTGCAAAAACGGAACTTTGAAGACTGTGAATATATGTTCCAAAGGACATTTGCTGAGTTTTTTTTTTTTTGAACAGACCAATGTTTAAAGCCAATGATCTATAAGGTTTGTAAAGAACAGTGCATTCCAAATATCACTATGGATTTTTAAAGCAAGGACTGATCCTATGTCATTTAATTGCTTTTAATTTTCACAATCTATTTTTTCTTCATTTATAAAATGACTGTAAACTGTTGTGTAAATTTTTTGCATCATGGGTTGCTGAAAAAGTGACCTTTATGTGTTATTTTGTGCTGGCATGGAACATTGCTGAAAACCCCTCCAACCAATCAAGGTTGTTTACTTGTTAAGCAAGTAACAGTGGTTACCAAAAAATGTATATAATACATCTGGTACTGACGCGTCCCATAGGTTTTTTGACATATATGCCAGTCAACCTATAACTAGTCTCAGAGGGAATCAATGGCTTTTTGCTGAAGTGTTGTTGCCCCCTTTTCTGGGAGGTTCACCAGTGACTTGTCACGTGTTTGTGCAGGGTGCCACTTCCACACATAGATTACAGGTTTTTAGGAGACATTTTCATTCCAAAGCATTATTTCTAGAAATGACTAGGGTTCTTTTGGAGATGTCTCTTTTTCTTTATTTTAACAGTTTGGATGCTTTCATATCCAAAGAAGTCATCCTCCTTATTTTTGCTGCAATGGAAATGGATGCGTATAGCTGCCCCMACTTTCTCACAGATAATGTGATGAACCAAAACTTTCTCTTTTAAATTTGTGAGGAAATAAATACAGCTTTTGGCCACAATTGTATCGACAATATATTTGCCTTAGTGAATCCAAGGCACAATCTCAGTAGTGTTTAACGTGCTACTTCTAGCAACAAAATGTGATTTGATGTTAGTACCACACAATGCTGTTAAAATCAGTACGTCTACAAGCTTCATATGTCTCAAGTCCAATCTCTTGGAAATTTGTTCACATATATCTGGATTGTTCTGAAAATTGAGTTGTACAGTTTTTGTTCTCAACTACAAAATGTTTTCATATTTTAGTTTATTGCATATTGTTTAAACGTGTTATTTTCTTTTAAGTAAATGTATTTTGTTTCCAAYATATGACTTTTTATTATAAATTAACACTAGCTTTTTATTGAATTGCAAAAATTGAGATAAAAGCGAAYGAAAAAAAATCCAACCTGGCCACTTTATGGTGTGATATTCATTGTTTCAATGAAATTGTTTGTTCTCTGATTTCCAAAGTGTAATCATTTCAGCTCTCTTGTGGACAATAGAGTTGATGTCTCCACATTAGATGAAGCCAGTATGGACTGTGTTTTGGTTTGTGTGTGTGTGTGTCTGTGTGTGCGCGTGTGTCCATGTGTGTGTGTATGTTTTACAAGAGCCAGCATCAATTCAGTTTCTCTTTTTTCATTGTTGTTTTTCCTTGTTTGCCTTTATATTGTTGTTACACACCAAAAAAAAAAAAACAGAACCACAAAACTAGATTATGACTAAATTGAATTTAGAATTACTAAAAGATAAGCACTGAGCAGTTTTTATTTCAATTGAAGATAATGAATGTGGCCAAAGCTTTATGCAGTTAAAACAAAAAGAAACAAATTTGTGCCCCAAACAAGTGTATATTTTATTGTGACTTACATTGGGATACTTGATTTTAATGGACATTTACAAAAGAAAGGTAAAGGCAACATATTGCTGTAAAGGTCATCTTTTGCCCACTGTGAAAACAAACGTGTACCTGTATACAGATATAGATATATTTAAATGAGACATTGACTTTTGTTTTTTTGTTTTTTTATTATTATTATTATTGTTATTATTATTGTTATTATTGTTTTGAGATGAAGAAAGAATGAAAATAAATACAAAGGACTCTGGGAAGCTTTGGAGGACGTGAGAGGCTGTGGGCACACCAAAACTGGGCATGAGAGCCAAAAGCAGGCTCAAAAACAGCTTTAAAAATCACCACCTCATTTGATTACTGACAGCTCTGTAATGGGAACAGACTCTGGAACCAATGGACATGTGTGACTGAGGGAAGTCGTTAGATGAAACTGAACTTAAGTGGCTCCAGCTGCCTCTTTTCTCCTTTTCTGTCTGTCCTTTTCTTTCTCCAGCTCTGTGTCTGCTTCTGCTCTTTGACAGACATTTTTCCAAAGTTTCAGGACAGGATGGACAGAGATGCTTGCTTCATTTCTTCCTCTTCGTGTTGCTACCCGATTCATTTCTTCGTGCTTGTCTCTGCTTGACAAGTGAAGCTCTCCAGTCAAATGTTGACTCGCCCCTCTCTGTGGTGGTTACATAATATGAATAGGGAAATTAAAAAACATAGAGAGGGGATGGGTTCTCAAAGCTGTCATTCCTAGGGAGGCAGCCACACTTAAAAAAAAAGCATTTTAACCAAAATTACCAACCAAACTAACAACCAAACAACCATTTGCTCCAGCTTCAAAGATGAACTGTTACTTGGAGCACTCTGTTCCTTTTGTGACTTCTGGTGCCACAATATTTTTATGCTTTTAGTTTTATTTTAATTTTTTTTCTTTCCTTGAAATACTACTCCTTCGAGCCTCATAAGCATGGCTCTGTGGCTCCAGGAAGCCCATTTGAGGGTAGAAAAAAAACAGCCTTGCAATGTACAAAAAAGAGCAAGATAAACCAAAAATGTTGTTCTTGATGTCTTTTCTATACTGTAGTCTTGTTAGATTTTTTTTCTTTTTTGTTACTGTAATTATATGAAGATTTCCRAACTGTACCAAATGACATGGAAACTAACATACATACAACCACATGGAACTTCAGACTTTTAAAGAAACTTTTGTCACAAAAACCTTGTTGTCCTAGTTAAGTTGATTGTAGATGGTAATTGAATATACTCCTTTGAAAATATTTCATCAAGTATGTTTCTTGCTCATTGTGATACATTAAAAAAAGTATGAGCATAACGAGCTGGTTTGGACTCATTCTTGAGTGTGTGGGATGTGAATGCATGCTGAAGGTGGATTAGTGTGTTGTTTAATAATGCATAAAACCTCCATTTTCATTTTTTGCACTTAAGATTTTTTCATATTTCATATTTTCAAGCTACACTGTCACACATAGTACTTATAAACAACCTCCCCTCATAAAAGACAAGTTTTCACATCAATCACTGCTTTTTCATGATTGATTTAAACTTGTACAACTCTGTAAGTTCTTATGAGTGTATACTTACAAATTATTTGTGCTTGCACATCTTTAGTTGTAGAGCAAGAAAGGAACAAAAATGAATGCAGCAGAGTAATTTAGTCATTATTGGCACATTGTCAGATGTAAACAACCCCTGGCCAAAAACATAAATACTGTAAAACTTCACTACTCTTAGGGAATTTTTTAGTTACCTTTTTTATTAAAAAATTAGGCAACATTAAAAAGAGACAATTAAAAAAAAGACAATTGATGTTGTCTGTTACCTCTTATTTTTTAAGATCAAGCGAAAAACTTGAATGACCCCATATTTAGAGCGAAAAATTTGGGGTCATTCAAGTTTGAGAAAAAAAATGAAATCAYGAGGAAAACACTAATTAGTACTTTGTGGCACCACCTTTGGCTTTTTAACTGTTTGAATTCTCTGAGGCATGGACCTAACCATTGACAAAGGTYGGTGCCTTGTCATTTACGTTCATATCCACCAGGGCCCGTATTTATAAAACTTCTTAGAGCAGATTTTTAGACTTAAGTGCTGAAAATTTCTTAGATTTGCTTCTACTCTCAGACTTAAGTGTAAGTGCCAGTTATCAAAATTCTTAAGTCTAAGAATCACTCTTACTCTCAAGAAAAGTTAAGACTGCTCCAGATGACTCTTGAGTGGTTAAGAGTTGCTATTTTAACTGCAAGACTTGGACATTCACAGATAATTATTGGACATTCACAAAATAATTATTAAATCTATTTACAATTTCATTTTGATCATAAATTTCACTGTCATCCTAAAAGTACTGTGAAATGCTTGATTTTGCTTGATTTTTTCAATACACATCATTACTCTCCATGTTGCCTTCATATCACATACTTTTATTTAACAAATAACTGTAATATTCTTTCTTATGCCTTGTTATAATCCATACTTGCTTGTTTTATACTTTTTGTTTTTCCCTTCTGATTCTTGTTCTTAATTTCAAAAAGCATGAATACAAATTATTCTTTTTTTACAGGCATTTCTCAACCCTTTTGTCATCCATGGCTTGTCAACAGTATTTTTCTTTGTATAATTGTTTTGGACACAATTATTTTCATACAGATATTCTAAAACATTTATACACAAATCATATGCTTTATTCACATCATCAACAAACACATCTCTCCAGTTTTGTTTATTTAGATCATCTTTTAATTTATCCATAGCTTTTTTATGTATTTCTTGTTTTCTTGATTGTAACTACTTTTATATTATATTGATTATTTTTATAAATCATGAAAACTGGTAAGTGATCACTTACATCAGATGTCAAAATACCACCCAGCACTTCTCCATTTGTTCCAAATATGTTTCCTTTATTTAATCTAAAACATTGTGGCTGACAACATCAATTAAATTTCTTTCTTTTTTTTATTGTTTCTTCGTACCAGATGGTTGGAATTTTGAACAATAATAGTTTTGTGGAAAGTCAAATTTATTATTTTTTAAACAAAATTAAACAGTTGCGAAAACCTTTGAGAATGGTGATTCCATATTTTTTGCCAGAGGTTGTAATTTATTTTAACAAAATTTTCTACTAATTTAAAGGTGTCATTATTAAATGAGAAAAAAAATATCAACACCCTGTGACATGTCGGTATGATAGTCCCAGAGCTATGAGAGAGGAGGCACCTTTACACACCAAAAGACAGAAGTACAAAACTGAAGCAGAACACAAAGAAATAATAGTAACAGCAATAATAACTCAATAAAGTACGTATTCAGCACCTGATAATAGTTTTTACACATACATGCAGGAAAAACACGAATTAAGAGCCTATCATTCCATAACAGGATGCATTCCTGCCACCTTTGATTCTAGAATTTT